TCCAGTCTCCGAAACGTCGTGGTTTTTTTTTGTCTTTTATATACCAGACGATGGGTGAAGTCCAAAATAAGCCAAAAGAAGTACAGTATACACCATCATCAGAATCCTTTCAAGTCTATCTAATGTATGTGTAGTTTGAATCAAATATGACATTATAAGAAATCTGGACAAAATTTAATGATATTAGTAATGATGATGGTAGTAAGATTTCTGTTTAAACTATGTTATAATTCTTATTTCAGTCCTTGATAAAGATGGGTAAATCTTTAAAGCAGCACACCATCAATCCAAAAGCCATGCCTAGAACTCAGCTGCTAGGACAGATAGATCTTGATACCAGACAATGGACAGATGGAGTACTCACTCTGAGCGCTCTGCAAGTATATTCTGAACCACCAGGTGAGGCTTTTTTTTTTTCTTTTGTGGCTTGAACATAACAAATGATTTGTGCATGTAGCAGCCTCTGACAAGAAAAATATTTTCTTCTTATTTCAGGGTGTTTTCCTATGGCTTAACATGCAGTCCTTAAACCCCCCTCTCCAAATTTGGAATTGTGATAATATGTAGCAGGATCTAAAGACAGAAACTGAAATTATATGCCTTAAGCAGAGTCTGCAATATATAGAGACAGAAAATTTTACTGGAGGGAGTCAGGATTAGGACTGCAGACATTTTGGGTTTCTTTTATCTCATCCCCACAAGTAATATGCAGAAGAAAATTATTGGAAGACTGCTCAACACAACAAGCATATATTTATGATTATTTTGAGAGTCTCAGAAATTATAACACATTTAAATAACGATTTTTACAGATGTGCTTTCTTGGATTGTATGTGATGGTGATGTGGATCCAGAATGGATTGAATCACTGAACTCAGTTTTAGATGACAACAGATTGTTAACACTGCCTTCTGGCTGGAGAATTCAATTTGGGCACAATGTCAACTTTGTGTTTGAGACTCATGATTTGAGTTTTGCATCACCTGCAACAGTATCTCGGATGGGAATGATTTTTCTCAGGTTTGTTGTGTGTCATGTTACTAAAATAAACACTGTGTGATACTGCCCGGGTCTGCCCTTACATTGAATTCAATTTAATATTTCAGTGATGAGGACACCCATGTGAAAGGCTTGGTATCTGCCTGGCTGAAGAAGCAGAATGAGTCAAGTATTCGGTTTTTAATACAGTTGATTGAAGATTATTTCTACAAAGGTGAGACAATTTACTTATGGGGAATGAATCTGTATCATATGTTTCATCTCATAAACACTCATCATGGGATCATTTTTATCAGCTCTAAAAATGGTGTCATATATTCCATGAATTATAATAAATATTACATATGCAATATGGTTCAATATAAAATAGCCCAAAATATAAAAGAAATTAAATTTGATGTAACTATTTTTTACTGATATAGATTATTTTAGCACAGTAAAATAACACTTATAGGATATGTTCATAGCCAGAATCTTCACGTTGTTGGGTGAGATTTTCAGTAGTGCCATTGCTGCCACTTCTCAGAATCTGTGGTGCTATAATTTTTTTCAGAAATTGGAAAGTTCTGTTGAACTGAGATGACCATTGCACTTTGCTTCCTTCCACATGTTCGTCTTAAAGCACAGCTAGAACTTTTTCACCAACATCTGTACTATATCTGTCACTGGCGATTGCTTTGTTCTAAAGTTCATATGCTTCTGTGACCAATTTAAAACTTGGTGCCCTGTTGCAGCCTTTTCTGTACAAATGAGGGAAAAAAAAAGATCATGATAGATCTTTGGCAGACACATTCATTATATAGAGTGCAGTGAAGTATTTTTAAAATGGAATAATATTTTACAGAAGACATGCATTTCATTTTGAACATATATTTTGTTCCTACAGTCTTCAGCATTATTTTGCAGTGTTTTACTTTTTGTAAAGTACGTCCTTTAGGTGACTGTTGTCTTGCTGAATGCACTAGTGCACATGAGTTAGAAGCACTGTATCACTTCCTGAAGTGTTTCTTCTGAATTGTGGGTTATTTTGAAGGGTTCTGTGTTCTGGGATATAACACCATATGAGGGGGGACCCAAAAATAACCAGAACCGACCTCTTGTGCGCGCATGCTTTGTAGTTACGAGTTGTGCTGCTAGGTGGTGTTAGCTGGGGATCTCCCGCGACTGTTAGTGAGCTGGCGTCAGTCTGAGTTAAGTTGTTTGTCTGTGGTGCTCTGTTGTGTGCGTTCCTGTTTCAACCCTTTGGCGATTAGTGAGATGGCCAACCAGAAGGAACAAAGAGTGTTCGTGAAATTTTGCTCTCTGTTAGGGAAAACTGCAGCCGAGACTGTTGGGATGCTTCGGCAAGCCTTTAATGATGATGCTTTGGGGAAATCACAGGTCTACGAGTGGTTTTCCCGTTTCAAATCTGGCAACATGTCAACAGAAGACATGCCACGCCCCGGGCGTCCTTCGACAGGAAGAAATGA